TTTTATGTAAACAACTTTTCAGGAAGTGTTTTCCAAAAACATGTTTTATAAATCAGAAACTTTACAGACGTGTGCCTGGGGAATTCTTTATTTATTTATTTATTTATTTACTTACTTATTTATTTTTAATTTGGGGGAATTCTTGACAGTAAAAGTAGAATTATCTCTTATTTAATACGCACTGAAGACCAGAACATTCTTGTAATGTTAGTATAATGAAAAGGAAGCTGCCGTGGATTAATGTACACATCAGCTCATCATCTAAAATCAGAACGGCTGGAGAGTAAATGGAACATGGATTGGTCACCTATGAGCCAACTTTGGAGCTTTACACTTTGCCTAGTTTGAGAAGTCAGCAGAAGGGAGCCATGGGCACTTGTCAACCTTTCATGAAACAATTGCATTAGGAATAGATGAACAGGCGGGGCCTTCTCTTGCTGTCTACTCTGCTTATGCAAAGCATCATGTGGCAGCCTTCACTTCCAGGATAACCTCTGAGCTCTGTCTCCTAAAGAAAGTGAACAATCTTCCCCATGCAGAGATTGTATTGTGGGTAAGGGAACTAAGAGAAAAACGGCAAGGCAAGAGCAGCACTTCTCAAGGTTTAGCACATACCACAAGCACGTGGAAGGATTGTTAAAGCAGATTGCTGGGCCCCACCTAGCACTTTGGATTCAGTATATCAGAGTCCCAGATTGTGTATTTCTAACAGGCTTCCAAGTGATCCTATGGCTGCTGTTCCAGAGGCCCCTACTTTGAGACTCTCTAGGGGAAAGTGTATATCAGAACCTCTATCAGAATTATGGTGGCTGTGAATGATAGCACAGCTAAAGGAATAGTGGCTTCAATAAATGGAAATTTCATTTCTCTTTCCCATGTAAGTTCAGTAGTGGTGGCCCAGGCCTGGTATGGCACTCCACAGGGTGAGGAACCCTAGCTCCTTCTAACTTATTTATCTGCTATATGCTATTTATTGCCTCTATTCCCATCAATTAATGATTCAAAAATGGCTACTTCAAATTTAATAATTATTGCAAAAATTCAGGCAACAGCAAGAGAAAGAGAGAGAGAGAGAGAGAAAGCAAGGCATATTTTCCAAGTTCCATGTGCCACTCTGCCCAGAGCTCAGAAGGACATAAAGGAAGACCTGAATAAAAGGAGAGGCATACTATATTCATTGTTAACATTGTAAGGTTCTTGTTACTCCAAGTAAATCTATTGAACTCGCATTTCAATAAAATAAAATTAAAGTCAATTTCAAACGAAATCTCATCAGGACTTATGGGAGTTTGAAAAACAGATGCAAAAAAAATTGCAGAATAAATGTCCAAAATAGGTCAATTTTGAAAAAAAATAAGATACAAAGAGTGGACACATATGCCCAGTCACATCAAAATGCATTACTAAGCTATAATAACAAGCAATTGTGGAACTGAAATGCCAACTGCAAAGAATCCAAGTGGGGAACAAACATTTATTTAAGGATTGGGGAAATTCACCCCATTCTACTCCTTCATACATACAGCCAGGCAACAGTCCCTCCCCTTACCTTGGCAGAAGACAGATTTATTGCCTGGATAAGCTGAACTCAGAGAATTCAGGCATAACTGAAGGCAGAGGTGATGCACCATACTAAAAACAGAGGGAGTACGTGAAAGTATGCTGGCTGAATAAACAGGCCACCAGCTCCATGTGCCAACTCAGCTCCCTGAGGGCTTGCAGTCCGGTTTCACCCTCCTACTCTCTGACTTGAGGTGTTGGGATTCCTTTCCAGGGAATCAGTCTATGACTGCTACACTAAAGCAGCATAGCCAACAACTAATTATATGCCTCAGTGGCATGCAGCAGTATCTTGGCTAGGGAAGTTCTACCCCACATGTCTCCCTACCTCCCTTCTCCTACTAGCAGGCTCCCTGGGCAGGTTTTAGTCTTGGTGGTAGCAGAAGCCCAAGAAGCAAATGTAAGTTAGCAAACCTCTCAAAGCCAGCCCAGAACTTGAATGTCATCATTCCACCTTATTCTGTTGCTTTAAGGAAGCCAATAGCCAACCTAAGGCACAGGAAGATGTATTCCAGCCCCTTAGAGGTAGAAACTTCAAAGTTCCATAGCAAAAAGTGTGAATGCAGGGCCATTAATGCACTCTACCACCAGCTTTAAGGAAAAATCCTAATGAATACATATGTTTGGGGTCCCCCACTAAAATAAAACCCAACTTTCCGCCTTATCACCCTACACCAAATGGCTCCAGACAGTAAGCCTCACCCATGCACACTGAGTTTCTCTTAGGGTCCCAATCTTATTTATGAACAGACAGTCATGGATCACTAACCTTTGTATAAACTTCTTAAATGAAAGATTGAGACAAAAACAAAGACAGAAGAAGCCAGGGCTTAAAAGAAGTAATATTGGAGACAGAAAAGGTAAACACAAAACAAAAACACTAACAACTAAAACTGGTACTCTCCGACCCATAGAGATGATATCAAATCAATAAAACTAAAGTGGTGTGCTATTAAGGAGAAGAATATTCAGAACATGGGGAAAAACTCTTTTTAAAAAATAGAGAAAATTGTCCATTGCCTTGCTAGACTCTGGTGTGGGCATGTGCTCTTTGAGCTATGGCTGTTGCCATGCTTCCTGGCTTTGGCTCCCTCCTCCACCTTGGGGAGGTGAATCTTCTCTTTCTCTCTCTAATTTACTTTTAAATAGACTATATTTTCTTACCTAAAAAATTAACAAATAAAAAATAGAGAAAATCTTCCAGAAAGCAGAACAAAAAAACAAAGAAACGGAAAATAGTGGATACGAATTAGAGAATCTGTTTAAGATCTAACTACAATGGTTTCTAAAATTGGAAAATTGAGAAAAATGAGGGGTAGAGATTAACAAAAAACTAATATGACTAAGTTTCTCAGAGCTAAATGATAAGAATTGTTCAACTATAAAAGGCTAAGTAACTATCCAACACAATAAATGGTTAAAAACACGAAACTCAGCTCTAGGTATATCATCTTGTAATTCCGAACATCAAGGAAAAAGATTCTAAAAACTTTCAGAGAAGAAAAAAAATAGGTCACATTCCAGAAAGAAATCAGAGTGGTATAAGACTTCTACCAGAAAATGAAACAAAGTTCTAAAAATTCTGTTGGAAAATTATTATCAAGCTAGAATACAATACTCAGAAAAAGTATCAGTCAGATGTGTGGATAGAATAAAGCCTTTTCGGACATGGGAGTCTCTACAAATGTATATCCATGCACCCTTTCCTAGGAAGCTATCATAAAATGGACTCTGTAAAAATGAGTGACTATACCCAAGAAAGAGGATAGAAAGTGTATAGGATTGTGCTCCTGTCACTTGAGAAAGACCTCAATATAAAGAGTGAACCAGAATCTTCACTGAAAAACAACCCTGGATGGTACCGTGTTTGTTTAAAAATGCAATTCCTGGAATCCCTGACCTTGATGCTTTGGGTTCAAGTTGCCAAGTAGGAGCTTGCATGAGACTGGGAGGCCAAAGTAGTAAAGTGGGTGGTCTGAGATCAGATATGGAGGCAAATAGACTTAGAGGTGTCCAGAGCCTTCTTGTTTTCCTTGTTCTCCCTGCTCTGCACCCAGTTCATCTCCTTGCCTTGCTGATCAACAGCAGCTCTTGACCTACTGCACAATGCTCAACCATGTACCCAGAGAGGCAACAGCTTTCCTAGACATCTCTAATGACTCACGTCATGCAACTGGATGTGCCTGGTTCGCAGCTTCCCCTGCAAGCTCCTACTTGTCTACCGCAGAGGGCTTCATTGGATCTTTTCTCTGCTCTTTCATCACTTTCTTCCAGACCTTTTTGTCAACTGTTTGCACAATTGTATGAGGTCTAATTCCTACAATGAATCGCTTATCCCATAGCGCCCAGAGTGGCTCTGCATCCCTGATGAAACTTTCCTGTTACATGTAGGATACACTAAGTAAAGAAGTCCTAACAAAAGTGAGGGGAAGGAAATTCCCAGGATACTGGTGAAAGGACATTTCAGAAGGTCAACTAGGCAGCAGAGATGGAAAGCAACTATCCAGATAGCAGAGAATGGTGCAGGGCCCCATAAAAATAAAAATAAAAAGTTTGGGGGTGAATTAGTAGAAGACAAGGCAATCAATAGCTCCAGGAAGAACAAAGAGGAAGTTTGTGAAAGGAGATATAGCACTGTATTACTACATCATGAACAGTATATTATCACATAAGCACTGAATAATTATCTAACAAAAAAGAAAGAGGAAAAAAATGGTGCTATAATCACATTGCAAGGAAAGCAGGGGGTGGGAAAAGGTAAGTCTTTATCTTCATGGAGAGAAGTCAATAGATAATATCTAAAAGTGAATATTAAGACTTTTCAATATAGCATAAAGGCAAGTCACAGGAGAAATATATAAGGAGTAAAAGTTGTTCTCAGCAATGGGAGAACTTGTCAGGAAGGAATAAGGCAGGAAGCTACTTGCCGTTCTTTTTTATTAATTAAAAGCTTTGTGGAATAAAATTTTTAACTTTATACATAAGGCTTCTTTATAAAAGCATACAAATTAAATGTTAAACGCCTCAATGTCAAAGGCAAATCTAAAAGAAAAACATATCACCCTGATGGGAGCTCTTATTTAGAAATTCACAAAGCAGGATTGTAAAAAGGGAAATAAATGGATTTGATTATGTCAATATTAAAGAACTTTGTGGAATGAAAGACAACAATGAAAAAAGTTAACAGATAGATCACAGTCCAGAAGAGGATATTTGCAAAATTTTTGTTCAACAAAGGGTTACCAAAGGAAATCATAGAACAGAGCAAGTATTTTCTCGTTGTCCGCCAACTTTGAGCCTGGAGAAGACACTTTGGCCTATGGTCATAGTTGCCTTTGTGACATCATGACCAGCTCCTTCTCTTCCACCCCAGCAGCCCTTGCCAAGGCCAGAGAGCAGCAACCAGAGGGGGATGATCACCTGAACCACTGCTCCAAGCCATGGGCAATAATTGTTGTGTAAGACTCAGGCAGACACATTCCTCCAGGGGTGGGGAGTTGTCCTCTGGCAGAGGGAAACACCAAATAACTTCGTAGGACCCAGGCAAAGAATAGGAAGCTGGGCTGTGGGGACTTTATACCCAGAACAGTCCTCACACAAACTGCCCCAACATTCTGATTGCAGAAATCTGGTCCAGATGAAGACGCACTAGAGAAAGAAAGGCTGCGGAAGGTAGGTGGGGCCAGGGAGTGTAAGAAAACCACAGATAATCGACCCTCCACCCCCAGAGTCCCTGGAAGTGGAGGCTCCATCTCTGGTCCCATGAGGAATGGTTCAGTGTTGTCCTGCAACCCTTAGATCCCCTCCATCTGCTAAGTGAACTGTGTTAGTTTGGATGATAGAAAAGGGAGGAAGCAGCATGTACACAGGCCACTGGACAGGTGGGGCTCAGTACAGAGGGAAGTGGAAAGGCCCAGGAGGATACGGAAGGCCTGAGAGGTAGTAATGAGAGTCAGGAGAAGTGAGGCAAGGGGGAGACCCAAAGAGCTGCCCCAGTGTGCATACTATCAGGAGGCAGCATCAGGGGCTGGACTCTGACCACGTCACAGAATGTAAATGTAGAGGTTTGTCCTCATAAAGATCCTTTCCGTTCCTCACAGCATGCCAGGTTTTCTGGACCAGAGAGTCTTTCTCCTGGTGCCATGAACCCAGGAGGTGTACAGAGCAAGCATATCCCCATTTTTTGAGTGTACACAAGGACACTGTGACCTTGAGGGTGAGAAGATGAGCCCATAGCCACGTATGAAACAGAAGTCGAGGCCAAACCCCACCCAGGTCTTCTGGGTCCTCAGAACCACCAGGGGAAGGGCTGCTGTTTAGAACTACCTGTGTTTGATGGTGGCAAATTTACTGGGGGTCTTCTGCTTTGCTTGACTAGAGGCTTCTTGCAAAACGTCACAGACAAAGGGTTCAGGCAGCTGGGCAGATCCAGGCCTGGTGGCGTGGAATCCTGGTACGTAGGATCCTGCTGGTCGCAGCCCTCAGGGCCTGGATGATTCAGTGCTGGTGGAGGATGGTCACACAGAGGCGGATACGTAAGCAGCAGCAGGCCCTGTTGAGGGTCTATGTCATCCAAGAACACGCAGCTGTCAAGCTGCAGTCCTGGGTTCGCATGTGGCAGTGCCGGCGATATTACTGGCAAATATGCAATGTTCTCTGCCTATGCCAGGTCCCAGAGAGCAGCCTCACCTTCCACACTGATGACTTTTTACAAGTACAATGCAGAGTCCCTCCAAAGCACCCAGAGTTCCACATTGAAATCCTGTCTGTCTGAAAGGCCTGTGGAGTGGAGAACTGGATGCACTGCCCCAATAAATGTCTGACCAGGTGTTGTGAGTCTCAGTGATTCCCACAACCACAGGGTCCCCAGGGATTCAGGCCCCACTCATTCTCTACCTGTGGAAAGACTACAGTGCAGGCATCTCCCCATCAACCCCCGTGCTACTGACTTTACATCCAAATCAGAAATTGCAGCTCAAGGTTGTCCTCATAGATGCAGAGCCAGGTGTCCCACTCTACAGCCCTGGGACCATTCTATCTCCTGAACTTGGTTGGGCTTCACATTCCTGAAGACTCTGGGCACCTTCTCATCAGAGATTTGCCTCTGAGGCCATGCTCTGTCATTCTGCCATTGGGGGCCAGCTGGGGCTTACCAAATAGAAAACCAATGTGTATAAGGGGCTTACCCACATTGGTTTTCTATTTGGAAAGCCCCAGACAGAAGTTTGGGTCTTAGTCCCTTTTCCTGGGAGCAGTGCAGCCCAGGGAAAGCACAGGAGGCTGGCCTGTGGGATGACTGAGCACAAGGCTTTGCAAACCTCATGCCAATTTGGACACTGATGGACAAGTGATGGCCCCTTTGCGAAATAGCCAACAACACTATCTTTAGGCACCGCACTCTGCCTCCCTCCTTCCTCCTTCTCCTGCCTCCCCAGAGAGCTGAACACAAGTAGGGTTTCCACTGCCATCCCCTCCTCCCTATGTATGGTCCCATTTTGGGGACTTCAGCATTGACCCCTTGCCTCTCACTTCTAATGATTTTGGCTTCCATCCTATCTCCATCACCTGCTCCTATGATCACACCTTTGGTTCCTTACATCACTAATGCATCACAGACCAATTCTTATGTCAACCAATAAAAATAAGTTATGAGAAAAATATATGGAAAAGTCATACAGAATATAAACCATATTTTATATTATTGGAACACACATATATTGCTATTTGAATTTGCCAAAAAAATTTCTCCATGCTCATTCTCAATCTCTGTTCTTATCTCACTAGTAACAAACAGCTCTCTGATTGCTTCTTTAGTGGGAAATGGTGTTTAGAAACGACAATCTAAGTGTCAGGAGTTCATCTTGTTACTGGGTTGGTCATTGTTTTAGGCCTTTTCAGCAGAGTTAAGAAATATTTTTTTTTAAATATGGATTCTCAGGAAGATGTCCCAGTGTGAGTGAGTATGGAAAATTTTGCATACATGTCAGTGTGTCAGTGACTGAGTAGGAACTCAGGAACAAGTGGCCAGGGCTCTACTGGTGAACTGACTGATGCCACAGCTGCTCTGCTTGGTCCCTAGCTCTTTCCAGAACAGAAAAGCCAGGTACTATTTTTTTTAAAAATCAGCAAAGCCCTTCCTGGGAAGAAGCTGCCAGGAGAGACTGCTGGCTCTAGGCTCTGCCTCACCACTGCAGCTCCTGACTGGACACAGGCAACAAGGGCTGCGGAGGGAGCATAGTGAGGGAGCCCAGAGGCAGAGCTCCACTGAAGAAAATGAAAGAGGCACCCTGCCACCACCTTGAAAACTGGACAAGAAAGTGCTCCAACTTGCTTACCCCAGAACAACAGACCCTGCCTGATCTCTGTGACTAGCAGATTAACTACTCAGGGTTGATCGTGACCCAGAGGGAATATCCCAAAGGCACAAACTCCGGAAGGACAGGATGAATGCTGAGTCTCAGGCACCCCACCTCCTACCCTGATTCAGCTGTGGGACAAAGGATGTGACCAGAAAAGGATGAGGAAGATCTCCAAAGAGATCAGTGGTAAGTTCAGGGCTGACCCAAGCCCCTCCTCCCCAGCAATCCTGTGAACATCAGACCCACACGACTGGAGCATGATGAGAGGTACGAACCCAGGTGGAGCCTGGACACAGCCAAAATAGGAGGACTCCACTAGTGCCTGGGAAAGAGACAATCTCACATCTCCCCACCAAAGGGGATCCTCTGACCATACTAGAGTGGGAGAGGAGTGCTGAAGCCCCTTCACTCCCACTGCCCCTCCTCCTTCCCTGGGCTGGACACTGGGGAGATTGTGAATGAGGTTGAAGCTCTGAAGGAGACTACAGAAGGGCAGCTGATAGGAACAATTACAGAACCTGCCACAAGAGGGCAGGTGTTTGTTTGTTTGTTTTTTAAAATTTATAAACAACGGAATTTATTTCTCATAGTCTGGAGGCTGGGAAGTCCAAGATCAAGGTCCTGGCAGATTCAGAGTCTGGTGAGGACCTGTTCCATATAAATGACACCTTTTTGCTATCTCCTTACATAGTGGAAGGGGTCGAGGGTAGGTTTTTAAAAAAAAAAATTTATATTTTTCCCATATGTATGAATACATCTGTGAGAGTTCAATCTGCATCCCCCTCACCCTTTTTTTTCTTTTTTCTTGTCTTCTTTTTTCTTTTGTTTTTGTTTTCCGTTTGTGTATGTGAAGGATTGAGTGTTCATTTGTCAGTTTTTTTGTGTGTGTTTTTGCTTTTTTATCTTCTCTTTTTTTAGTTTAGTGTGCATGTGAATGCATATGTGAGGGTTCAATTTGAATTCCTTTTTTTCTTTTCTTTTTTTTCTCTTTTTCTTCTTCTTTCATTTTTGGTTAGGTGTGTGTGTGTTGTGTTTGGTTTTCCTGTTTTTTGTTGTTGCTCTTATTTGTTTTGTTTAACTTTGCTGTTATTCCAGTTTGTTTTGGTATGCGTTTGTGTTTTTAATTGTTTTTTGCATTGGTTTCTGCTCTTGTTGTTCTGTGTTTGTTTTCATTTTTTTAAATTTTTGTCCATCTTATTTGATTTCTTTTCCCTGTTCTCCTCATTGCTGTTACTGTATCTTGGACTCAGGGGATACACACACATACCCGTTACATTGTCATATAGAGCAGTGGTGGGGAGTGGGCCTCAGGGAACCCATACCACAATCAGTGAACACTGTGATTTGCAAGTAATATCTGAAACTTAGCTCCCCATTCTCCACCTTATTCGACTCTCAAAACTGCAAGAGACAGCAAAGATTCCCATCCACAGCCCTGTTTCAAAATAGAACAAATTCAGAGCCCTGCTAAAGGAAGAATAGAGGGCTGAGCAAACATCAGAAGTGAAAACATCTCCCATTGCCACTGAAAAATGAACTAAAGAGAAAAAAGAGAGATGTGCCACAAATGAGGAAAAATCAATGGAATAATACAGATAATTCCCAATGTTACAAAGAGAAAGCTCATGAAAAATTAGACTTCAAAACCCAAACAAAGGAAGTCACCAATGACTGGCCCCAGAATACAATAGGGATTGGGAATGGATGGAAAGAGTGAATAAGATGCAAGACAGACAAGATGCAACACTGAAAGAATTTGTAACAGAAATGTAGTCCATAAAAAATTTCATCCAGGAAATAAATAACAAGATGACAAACATGGAAAGCAGAATTAGCCAAGCAGAAGAAAGAATCTCAGAACTTGAAGACCAAAACATGAAATTTATCCAATCTGTAAAAAACATAGAAACTCAGAAAGAAAGAACAAAGCCTCCAAGAGATGTGCAACTATATCAGGAGGCCAAAACTACACCTGATTGGTATCCCAGAAGAAGAAAGGGAAATGGAGAATACCTTGAAGCAAGTGTTCCAGGAGATTATCCAAAAAAACTTACCCCATCACACCTGAGAAGAAACAATCCAAACACAAGAGATAAGCGAACCCTTGCAAGACATCAGTTGAGAAGACCAACCCCATAGACACCTAGTAATTCACCTACACAAGGTAGGCACAAAATAAAAAATTCTAAAGGCAGCAAGATAGAAAAGTCAGACTACCTACTGGGGAAAACCAATCAAAATAGCACCAGACCTATTGACAAACACTATAAACTAGAAGAGACTAGAGTCCAATATTCAAAGTTGTCAAAGATAAACAATTTCAGCTAAGAATTTCCTATCAAGTCAAGCTCAACTTTATCAGCAATGGAGAATTAAATTCTTCCCAGACATCCAATCCCTAAGAGATTATGCAGCTTCCAGACCAACTCTATAGGAGATGCTTAAAAAAGTATTATGCACAGAAGAAAGAAAAAAAAAGAATTACAATGCACTTCCCAAGGAAACAACAGTACGCAGAATCAAAAGAGAATACATCGCAACTGCAAACCTACAAATATCAACTCAAAAGCTAAAAGAAAACAAACAATGAAAAGACTTTATAAGAACCTCATGATGGAATAAACAATCACATTTTAATAATCAATCTTAACGTGAATGGACTAAATGCAACACAGAAAAGATACAGATTGGCAAACTGGGTTTAAAAACCATGCCGCAATAATTTGCTGTATCCAAGAAACTCATCTCACCACAAGAAATGCACACGCACTCAAAGTTAGAGGATGCAAAATGAATTTCCAGGTGAATGGATCAAAAAAGAAGGCAGGAATCATGATCTTAATATCAGACAAAACAACCTTAAGCTACCAAAATTTTTAAAAGACACAGAAGGACACTACATAATGATAAAAGATTCAATCCATCAACAAGAAGCATCATCCTAAACATATGTGCAGTCAACACAGGAGCACCAGCATTTATAAAGCAACTACTTAGTAAACGAAAAAAAGATATTGCCTCTAACACTATTATAGCTGGGTTTTATTTTATTTTATTTTATTTATCTATTTTGAGTTGGAGTCTCACTCTGACACCCAGGCTGGAGTGCAGTGGCACACTCATGGCCACTGCAGCCTCGACCTACTGGGCTCTGGCGATCCTTCCACCTCAGCCTTCCAAGTAGCCGGAATTACAGGCACGCGCTACCATGCCCAGTTGATTTTTGATTTATTGTAGAGATGAGGTCTCACCAAGTTGCCCAGGTGGGTCTCAAACCCATGGGTTCAGGCAATCCACTCACCTCAGCCTCTCAAGGCAAGGGATTACAGGCTGAGCCACCAAGCCTGGCTTGGGTTTTAAATACCCCACTAATAACTCTAGATAGATGATCAAGGCAAAAAAGTCAACAAAGAGATCTGGAACCTCAACTTGATGTTTGTCCAAATGGACTTAATAGATACCTA